TCATCCAAGACTGGTGATTCCATACTTTTTGCCAGGGGTTGTATTTACCATGTGCTTCAATAAATGTTTCAGAGGTAGTTGGTGCTTTAGCAGCTGAACAGTATAAAATCCGTAAACACCGATTACGTAGTTGCTGTAACTAGATTGGATGGCGCCTAATAGCCGCTTTTGACACTTTTCAACTACGTCACTTAATCACTGGAGGCATCATGATGGATGTCGGAAATGAGGATCGGGGGTATTGAACATAACGACAGAAATTGTTTTCCAAAGTTGTTTTTGTCAGTTTATTCGTGGCTTCTTCTTGTTCGAGTCAAGCTAATTTGTCTGTGAACGTAGCACACCTGGATGGGACTCATGGACCGCGATATTTACAGAAGCCTGAAACTGCTAGCTTAGAAACCGACCGATACCTCCTCTCTCCAGATGTGTTGAACAAATTACCGACTCCGACTGAATTCACACCACATTATTTATGTCACTGTGTTATAAACGGCGTTTCCCTTTACACCGGAGCGGCCTTAAAAACGAACAAAAGACGAGATGCTAACCAATTTTTCCCTTACAGGCTAGGCTACATGACGGCGCGGCATTGTCTCCATGGTTACCAATCTTTAGACACGTTCCTTCTCCATAATGCGATATTTGATATCTTTCTAATCATACTTACTTATAAAGTTTATGAACATTAATTTCTTACCTTGTAAAAAGTGCAAATCCGTGATTACACCGAGGGCTGACAGTCATTATGATTAACGGCTGCTTGTCATTTTATTTCATAAAATTACAAGTTTGGTTTCGCAGCCGACCACGCAGCCGCGTACATTGCCATGGCAACCTGCTGACCACGGCTCAAGATTGCCTACTGAGCTGAGATTATGTTCAAATCCGCCAGTAACATCCATACCAAAAACAAAAACAGAAGAAGAATGCAAACATTTTCCACACAAACAGAATTATTTTCTAATTAAGTTAGTGAACGGCTACCAGCAGAAACATAAATCTGCATAAACATAAAACGACCTGTTTTAATAGTTTCAACACTATTATTATGTTAATCAGTCCTTTCTTTTCAGTCCCTAGTAAACGGAAGATGGAGATTTCCGGACCTGAATCAAAGAAATCTTGTGTTGACACAAACGTCAAACTTCCTCCATTCAACCCAAATGAACCTTTAGGTGAGATACGTACAGTTTATTACAGCAATTGTTAATTAAAAATTGCAAGACCTGGAACCAGGAAATGGTTGACATGGGCAAATCTCAAGTCACAGTAGTGCAATTTTGATAATCTATAGTATTCAATTAAAAATACTTTATTAAACCCAAAGAAAAATTAAATGTTTTAACTTGTATGAATTCGAATTCTTCAGAGTTATTTTAGATATACATGCTACATGATGAATTCAATGAATTCACTTATTTTATATAGACTATTTGGATACACTTGATTCACCCTTATGCCCACACCTGACATATAAATGACTGAATGAATTAATTTTATTAATCCCAGAGGGAAATTCACAATAATATCTGCTTCATGTGTTCCTAATATGCTGCACAATTTTTTGCTATTTGTTTTTACTATCTCTACATTGTGTTTCATTTCCATACCTTTACTTTGCAATACTACATACCAACATTTATTTTGAGTATCACTAGAAGTACTGGAGGTGGTAGATAACCCAAAAATATTACTCAAGTAAGAGTAGCACTACTTCAACATAGTTTTACTCAAGTAATGGTAAAAAGTAACCATTCAAAAAATTACTCAAGTAAAAACTGATCAAATTATCCTTTAATATTTAAACATTACATGATCAAATGAACCAAAATATAAAGTTAAGTGGAAATTTTGGTATTTTCAGGACCAAAATGACAATAATTCATGTAATAAAAAAAAATAAAATTATTTTTTCCAAATGGGTTTCTTTCATTAAAAACATATAAAACTTGAATAAAAACTGCAGGTGTGTGTCTGTGTCCGGTGAATCTTTGGTTAAAACATGTTTGTTTTTCATTCAGTGGGTAGAAAGTCCAGAAGTTTTACTCAAGAGTAGAAATACTTCATAATGACATTACTCAAGTAATAGTAAAAAGTACACAGTAGTAAATGTACTCCTAAAGGTATATTTTTCTCAAAAAGGTTACTTAAATGTAACTGTATCTAGTTCTTACACAACTCTGGGTGCAGACTAAGCAGCACCAGAGGTTCTTATACCGCCAGGTCTGGTGTTATAGTTGTGCCATTAATGTCCAGATTTCATAATAAATGTTCCATTTACCTTAGTAATGATCCGACACTGTGAAGTTTGATTAATTACTCGTTATTCACACATTTTTCTTGTCTGTTCTTCTCTTCAGGGAAGGAGTTTGTGAGCCGTAAGTGGGGGTATTTCTGTAACCTGTGTTGTGTTTCCTACCTGAAGGAGGACCAGCACTGCAAAACCCAAACCCACTACGACAACCTGCAGGTTCACATAAGAACACATTAGAAACCGATCCACTGTTGTATCTTTGTGGCTCCAGCTTGGTTTTTATGTTAGGTTTCTCTTTCACTTCTCAGAGATACTACCAGAAGCGGGAGAAGCTGAAGCCTTCAACAGTCCTGAACCAAAGCTGAGGGACATCTTCCTGTTTGATCAGCTTGTTGGTTTTTGATGAAGAATGTGATGCTTTTACTGCTGCTGCTGTTATTACTTGAACATTTTGTTTACATTCGCCGTGTTTTACTAAAACATCGCTTCTTTGTGTTTTTAATGATTGTCAGAGTTAATCTAATCAGTAATTTTCAAATTGGTTAACTGTAGATAACGGAAGTATTTTGAATAAACAGTTTGTCATATGAAGTAATTTTGAAGCATTGCTCTGGATTATCTGAAAGTTATTTTGAGCTAAAATGACTTTTCTGACAGGATTACAATTTTTTTTGTAAGAAAATAATGTTTATAGGGGAGATATGTTTTCCCCTTTTTCTTTGTCATGATGAACATTTTCTGGTTAAATCCAGAGTTCTTTATGTAAAATAAAATATAATTTTGCAATAAAACTCAATGTGTGTGAAGCCTACTTTTCTATTATCTGTTTTACTTTAGCTATTTTATTTATGTTTTGTCTCTAATGACGGAAGAGGATGCTAGGATGCTGCTCCCCATGATATATTTAGACTTTGTCCTTGAGATAAAAAACTAATCCACACCATTTTCGTCTTCTCTCTTATTTGAATATATAAGTACCAATAAGTAAATCTCTTGTTTTGATTACCGGTTCTGCTTAACTGGTAAATTCGCTTGAACATCTAAATTGTAAACAGTTAGGCTCTTATTTTGAAATTCAGCACCTGAACCGGATATGGCTAATAGAGTCACCATATTTGAACTGGCTCACCTGCAAACAGTTGATAATTTATGTAAAAAAAAAAAAAGTGGCAAACGGTGGTTAGTTTTCTATAAATAAGCTGAAAGAAAACCAACTAAAGGTATGTAGCAGTTCACTGTGAAAAATAAACGTGTACTTAAAGAGTTTAGATTAAAATGCCGTCACCGTTGTTAGCTTTTGTCTCGTTAGCGTAATGGCTAACCAACGGTTTTTACCCCCGCGCTAACGTTAGTCTATAATTAAAATGCTGTTTTATGACGTCTTCGCCGTCCAAGTAGGCTCACACGTCTAACTTTAACATTGTTAATCCACCTTAGTTAAGAATGTAGTCATAGCGTCATGATTTTTGTGTAAATGACAGATATCTCAATAACATAATTTAGTTACCATTATTTTTGTTTGTTTTGGTTACCATTGTGGTCGACAAGTTAACGTGTAGTTGTGACTTTTTCTTTTTAATCTGCACATTTCACACACACATATGCAACTCTTAATTAGAATATAATCAAAAAGCTAGCAAACTAAATTGTTTGGGCAACTCGAAAAGCAAACTGGTAATTTTATAGATTACTTGCACACAAAACAAGTGTTGTCAAACATGGGGCGCCTGATTGTATGGTAGTTAAATAATTGGCTAACACTGCAGAAATAAATGGTTTCTTGTTCTATAAACGTCATGCAATCAGCCAGTAACAAATTGTATAACCTGGTAAATGGTTCTTATGATGAAATGTGGTTAAACCAACAAAACTCTTTAACATCATCCAGTTTCATAATTGAAGTAGCTTCTTATAACTCTTACATCTGTTCATTTACAAGCAATAACTGTCTATTTGAAGAATTATGAAAAACTAAAGTTAAATGGTTATGATTTATTTAAAGTTTTACATTTTCTGGATATATTTTCTATATATACTTAAAAGTATAAGTATATATATGTATATATATATATATATACTTAGACTTTTTTGTGCATCACTTCACTACTAGTACATAAAGGGCATTTTAGATAGTTTGTTGCATATTCTGACATCCTGAGGAACATAAACGTCCATTTAACGTCTTTCTTTACCCTTTTAGCGCCGTGGCTGCTGGAACATTTGCTGCAAGGAAGGTTTGGTCATTTGTTTCCTGTTGTATCTGGTAGCTTTGCATCGATGCAAACAGACTGTGCTGTGGACAGCAAGGCTGTCAGTTTATCACCAAACATTGTAACAACGCCAAGCTATGACACAATAACGTTTTAATTTCTACTTCTCCAACCATCAGCCTTCACTCCTTTCCTGATATTTATAACATCCACACTGGGAAGCACAGATATGAAATCTCTAACAGTAGAAACGCTTGTTTCTAAAACATCAGAAAAGATGCTTTCTTCTTCAAATTGCTCTTCTTCTCAAGAACATTCAGCCCTTGATATGGATGAATCTGGTTCTTCCACATTGAATTCATCACATTTTACAGAGGAAAATACAAGTACAAGTGATATTGGAGTCGACATCGGCAGGAAACAAGATAACAATGACAAAGCTGGGACAGAGCAACCCCATCCTTACCCTGATAACCCAGAGAATATTCAAGAACTGGCCACCAAGATCCTCCAACGGTTTGGGCTTGAAAAAGAAGATTTGGAAAATCTCCTCTCCTACCCTGAAGACCTGATCACTGTAGCAAATCTGCCTGCCATTTTGAGGCAAATCTACATTATGAAGGTAAAGAATACAATGGATTGTTCAAACGCTCCACGTGTCACAAGCACAACTGGATTTGACCATTTTAGTTGTTCAGAAGGTGAACAGATTCACAGAGTCGATCAAAATTTTGGATTTGATGGAGTTTTGGAAGAAACCAGGAGCTCAGCAGAGGTGAAAAACTGGGGTTCACATGATCAGAAAAGCTCTTCCACCTGTTCTAGCTCAGTCAGGACCTTTGTGGACCATCCACCCAATAATTTGAATAACCTGCAGACCCAACCAAGACAGAGTTTACAATCCATTCCCTCCTTTTTTCCTCTGGTGACGCAAGAAACCGATAGTAGTTCTGCCAACTCTGAAGGATCTGAACCAACACCTGAAATGAGGCAAATTGATGAAATGAAGCAATTTGTTTCAGTACCTGGAGACGGAAAACCTGGCCAAGCCATTAATGACAACATGTGCAAAAATGACAGTATAACTCACAGACAAGTTATAAATGTTGTTGAAACGAAAAAGAATCAAAAATCAAACCAGGAGTACCAGAAAACACGAAGTTACTCTGATTTAAATCCGGTTCCTCCTCCATCCATGAGGCCAACGTGTCCGCCTGAGGCAGCTTCCACCCAGTTGCTGCTGCCGCCCCCAGGCAGGGCGTTCCTACCTGAGCCAGCTGGTTTTAACGGTCTGCCTCCAAAAGCCATGATGGAGGATTACACTGCCGCCACACCGAGGGCGTTCCCACACACCTGTTCTCTCTGCAGCACAGTCTGCATTAATATTAAGGTGAGTCTGGGACGTTTCCTCTGATCCCTCCATTAACAAGTTAATTAAAAGTTTAAGTTACAACCTTTTCAATTATGGAATTCACTTTTACTTTAGCTAGTCCTGATATGATTAATCAAATATTGAAATAGTCATCGATTTAGTAATTTATTAATTAACTGGAATAAACAGTCAAAAAAGAGAGAATTTGCTGTAAAACAATGTATCCAGAGCAACTAATTCAGCTTAAACTACAAAATGGATTCAATTTGCATTTAAGATAAAAACACCTTTTGATGTCAGTGTTTTTACTTTGACATCGAAATGTAAATGGCATTTTTTATATTCATCCAGTTCAAATTCACTAAACTAAGTGTTTATTTTCTTAATAAAAATATAATTATTTATTGTATTTCTAACATTGAATGTTAAATGAAAATCTGAAGAATGTGTCAATTTATCAGAATAATCAATTAATACTTACACAATTATTAGTTGCAGCTCCAACTGTAGCATAAGAAGGTTTTTGCTAAAATAGTATAAATAACTGTCATATTTCATGTAGAAATATTAAAATTTGATGTTCTGTAGGAACTTATAACAAAAGTTTCACAAAAATTAAAAAGAAAAATAGTTTGGTTCATTTAACATTTTCTTGTTAAAGGAAACTAACTATGAAAATTATTCTGTCATTTATCATCGTAAAAAATTATTCTGGTGAAAATAAATTCCAGTTAATGCACCCAAAACTGCCACATTTTATTTTTTTTTCATACTATTTTCTCCAGTTTTGGTTTCATAAAGACGTCAATAAATATCAAATTAAAAACTGTAATTAAATGCAGTTGCTATGTGGAAATTAATGACATAAATCACACTTTTTAGTGTCATTGGTGTCCTGAAGAATTATTTAGATATAACAGGTATGTTGGCTTATGTCTGTTTGTTGACATAAAACTTAAATATGTTGAAAATAATAAGAAAAAAACCCCAGAAGAAATTGGTTAAATGTTCAAAATGAGCAACCTTTAAAATAAATGATGCTCCTTCTCTCTGCACTGATTAAAATGTTTTTTCGTTGAGTTTCCTGTAACGTTTGCTGCTCTTCCTGCCAGGACTGGGTCATCCACCAGAACATCAGCTTTCATATCAAGGCCTGCATTCTGCTCCGCAAAACGTCAGTGTCCTTTTTTTAAAAGCTCAATTTAACATTTGTTCTTTGTGATTTATTTATTTTTTTGTGGAGTTATCGGGAATATTTTAGGATTTCTACGAGATTTTTGGTTTTGCTACAGTAGAAACTCCTAATAAGTCTTTTTTTTTCTTTTCTCTTTTTAACGTTTTGCCCTACCAAGAGAAAAAACAAATTCTGACTTTTTATTGAAATGAATGTTAAAAAAATTGGTAATTCTAAATTTTTTTCTACAGATACCCGAATTGGGATTGTACAGCACCACTGTTTGAGAGGCAAGTCAAATAAAAATCCTTAGACTCAATTTTTAAAAAGTATCTTTTTGGGTTATTTTCTACCAGTTAAATTATGTTTTTATTTTCTTTTATTTTTGTAGTTTTTCTGATAAAGACGCCTCCACCTCTGCTCAGACATCCCAGCGTTACGATCACAGAGTCGGGTCCAAGACCCGGGCCAGGTCCAGATCCAGGTCCAGATCCAGGTCCAGGTCCTGGTCCAGGTCCAGATCCAGGTCCAGGTCCATCAGTCCATACAGACTGGAGAAAAAATGTTACAGAACCAGGAGCAGTTCCAGCTCTCCAAGTCCTCCTTTTTGCGATGCTTTGATGGATAGAAGCAAACCAGAGGAGCAGGAGGATCCAAACACTCACAGGTCAGTGAGATACGAGAAATACGAGAGAAAAGTAATACTGGAAAACCTTTTAGCGGAAATTTAAAGGTGACTTATTATGCTTCCTTAAAGACATTAGGATACTTCTATGGTCTAAACATGTTCATTAAATTTTTTTGTGCAAAATAGTTCTTAGGTAATGAGATTTCAGTCTGGTCAGTTCTGTTTTAGGGCCTCCGTCACTTTAAATCCAAATAAGTTGCTGCTGGCCACGAGTTCTGTTTGGGTTGCTAGGTGACGAGTCTAGGACGGGCATGGGTTGCTAGGAAACGGGGCAGTGCCTGCTGATTTGTTACATTCCAGAAGTTTTTGAGGCCGCTCATTTTCCAGACACCAAAAAACCTAAACTTACTGCCGAAAAGTGATTTTTTTTTTTTTTAAAGTGCTGCTGTTTTTAGAAGCAGTAGAAAACCAAACGGAAGCACAAAATGCACAAAATGTGAACTTTGCATAATAGATCCTTCCTTCATGTCAGAAAAACTGCTGATAATTTACAGTTTTTAAAGTTTTCAACCTGATTTTGGTTTCCTGCTGATCTCGCTCACCGCCTTCAACCTGGCGTTACCGTTCGGATTTGAGGAGCCCTCGGAGGCGATCTCCATCCGGGAGGAGCAAGAAGAAAAAGTCTTCACCCAACTGGAGACGCAAGAAATCGACAAGGTCATCCAGTAAATGGCAGAGGTCGAGCCGAGTACAGGAGCTGACCAAAAGCATCATGAGATCATCAGGTTGGAGTAGCAGAACAGCTTCTGTCCGTATTGTTATGAAAAGAGATGAGCCACAATGACGAGCCTCTGAAACAAACGTTTTCTCTCCTGCAGCTGTCCAGTCTCTTACGGAGATACCAAAACTCAAAACTGTGGTCAGAACTCTGGTTCCCATCATCTTGGCTGAACTCAGGAACCTGAAATCATCTTCTTCCTCCTCTTCTTCTCTCAAAAGGAACTTGGATTCAGATTTTTCCAAAGTGAAATCTGACCTTCAGGTCGGTGAAGCTGGTTCTTCCAGAAAGCCTCAGGTTGGCAATTAGATGCTTTTTAAACTCAATTTGTTTTAGTCTTCAGTTTTCTGAATGTATAAATTCCACGTCTTGCATTAATGACAGTAATAATATTCTTTTTTTTTTACTTTTCCATACTAAAGTAATAAAGATAAAAATAAATGCGTACACATACTGAAAAAAGACAAGACAAAATGGATAAACAATTTTATAAATTCACAAAGTTTTTATTCTACTGCAGATATAAAATTTCTAGATATAGAAAAATGATGTAGTAATTATGTTTTTTACTTTTTGTACTGATTTATTTTTATTTTACACATCATACGGATAATAATGTTAACTACTTCTGATTTTGTAAAACGATTTGAGACCCAAACACCAAGTGGAGGGAAATTCTTACTTCAGTTCTTAATTTTTAGCAATTTATTTTTAGAAACTAAAGCTCTGCACATTTTTACAGCTACCAGATAGGAATATTGTGTTTAAAGGTGAAGTGTACTTCAATTGTTTTGCTCTAATTTAAATTTTTGCTCCAAATTATCACAAAAATTATGTAATTATGAAAAACATTCTGCTTTTCAGGTGTAATCTGTGCCATAAATCCAATATCTCCAACTTTTATTAAATAACTGAATATAATATGGATTAATAAATACAAATAAAAGTAAATGTAATGTGTATTTTAGCAAACCTGTTTTTAAAGCCCAGACATGTTTTTTTATAACCTGATCATTGTTGTTTAAGATATCGAACATTAGTTTTGCTCTTTTTACTCTTAAATGTCTTTAATCTGCATGTTTTAAAAACCAGGTTGATGCACCAAAAGTGAAAAGGATGAAGAGCCTCGATATTCAAGGAGCATCAGTCACTGTGGTTAAAGAAAGAGAGAAGCAGTTTGTATTTAATTATATTCACACCTACATCTTTACAGGTTTTTTTCCATTAAAGTAAAATAGGAATATCGTGTACTGTCTGGTATTGAGGCATATCAGCAGCAAAGTAACAAGAAGGAAGAAAAGAACTGAGTGACTTTATGGCAAACACAAAAAAAAATATTGAAGTTATTAGCAATAGCAGGCCCACATTTAAAGAAATGTGCAACTGCAATTTTTAAGATTTTGATTCTAGGTGATGATTTTAAATATATATAAAATGTGAGTAAATATATGTGCAAGAAAAAAGCAAAATACTATTTACAAGAAATGTAAAATCATCCAAATAACAGCAGAACTATAAACAGAGGGTTTTTAAAATTGCTTTTATTATAAAAAAAAGTCAATGGAGGAGCCCGAAACGTTGCTAAGTATAGTAACTTCAGTGCATGGAGGCCACGCCCCTCAGCCTTTAGGCTCCACCCACTTTTTGGGAATTTTTTTTAAATTTATTCTGGGGCAGAGTTTTGCTTCCACATGGTTAGTTAATTTGTAACAGATTAGTGCTAAATGTTTAAATATTATTTAGAGCAACAAGCAATTATAAGCAGGCATTACTGCAGTGTTGCATTAATTAGACAATTTTAAAATGGACACATTCAAACATGAAAGCTTTTTTAATTCAGATCATTTTCTTGTCTTCTCAGATTATCTGTGGAACCAAAAGTCTGCAAGAGACGACCAACCAAACCTGCGTCTCTGCATTCAACTAGAAACAGTGCATCTTTACCAAAAAGAACAAGAAGACGCGTCTCAAAAGCAAAAGCTTTGGTTTCCAAAGCGAGAATGATCCAAAACCGGCAGTTTGTTAGATCTCCAAAAGTAGAAGCTGTTAAATTTAAGGTGGAAAAACAAGTTTCAAAGCTTCCAGGATCTACAAAGTTGATGTTTACAAAGAAGAAAGTGGCTGGTAGTGACTCCAAAAAAACACAAAAAGAGCTTAAAGAATCTCCAAAGGGACTGGAAGAGGAGACTACCGAAGAAACGAGACAGAAACCTAAAATTAGAGAAGAACATCTCCAGGAAGTTGGGGATGTGAGGAAAGAAAATGGAGATGTTATGCAGGTAGAAAACCTGACAACTTTTCAGACCAAAGAGTTTGAAGATGCTGAAACTCTGAAATATCTGGAAATAAAATCAGCAGATTGTGTGGAGGTTCAAACTACAACTACAGTCAAACTACAGTGGAGTTCATCCAGTAAACCACCATCAATCATTTTTACACCAGAACCAGCTGATCCGCCTCAGACTGAACCGGATCTCCTCAAAGGTCCAACGTCTTCATTTGGTTCATCACCACAGAGTCGGAGTAAAACTCAGACTTCCTCCTCATGTCAGAGGGCTGACGCTTTGGAAACAGAAAGTTCATCTGATTTCAAGAAGCAGCAGAAAAAAAGGAGAAAAACAAAGAAAAAAGGTAAATTTAACAACATAAACCGACCAAAGAACACCTGATGCCATTTTTCCTTTCTGGTATGTGAATCATATAAAAGTCACAGTGGGTTTTCTTCTGTGAATTTGTTGGTTTTGGCTCATCATGGGGTCGGCTAATAAAGACACATCATGGTTTATTTGCCATCTTCATAAAGTATTGGTTTTTTTCTTTATTGTAGTACAATTTCATTTTTATAGCGCTAGCATGTCGTCTCGAGGAAGTTTACAGAAAAACGTGTTCAATCTCTTCTTGCATCCATTTTCATTTGGTCTCAGTTATCAGACGATACAATAAAGTTAATTTTATTACTCAAAGTAGTATAAAACATTTTCTGCTGATTGCATCGAGTCATTAACTTGAAGGATTCACAACGAACACGTAGCGTCAGCAGACAGTCGTTTGCGTGACTCGTAAACTTTAATCCCTCAAACTGAGCGTGCATGGAGCGACAGTGGAGAGGAAAAACTCCTTTAACAAGAAGAAATATGGCTTAAAGATAAAATCTTTTCTTTCCTAATACCAAATTTCTTTTCTGATTTTAAAAGTTTTTTTTTTTGTCCCTCAAAATAAAAATTACAAACAGAAAATATATTTAAAAAATGTTTTTTATTTCAAGAAATCCCGCTGGGAGTTGACCTGAACCGGATCTCCTGAATTCAAAGTCAAAATAAATAAAATTTGTAAAATATGTTTGTGGTTGTCTCTGGGTGGGTTAACATCAAGTGCATTGGTGAAAAACAAATTGTAATTTTTCTAAAAATTAACTCTTGAACATCAGAAAATGTGATTAATCGGTAAATTCAGTGCATATCCTGCAGCAGTATCTCAAAGTGACCCGTGTGGAGGAACGAGTCCTGCAGCTGCCGTCCCGACCTTCACGGAGGACCTGGTGAAATGTCTGAGTGAAAAACAAATCGGTAAAAAATCAGTAAAATAAAAGCTAGAAAATCTGCATGTTAATCTTTACTGACATGTAAACCTTTGTTTTGACTCTCTTCTGCAGATTGTTTAAGCAGGAAAACCATTTTGTCTGAAAAGGTGAGTTTTTATTAAACATTTATGAACCGCTTTTGTAAAAACACATCTTGAGTTAAATGTTTGCTTTAAACTGACCCAAACTATACATTTTTAGTTTAAATCCTAAGCTTGACGCACCATTTAATTTGTCTCAGGATCATTAATGCAAATATAACCTCATTTTTTTGTCATGTTTCTGTCATTTACCGTGACTAAATCCAAATCATCTCCCAACCTTTTGGCTCCACATGAAGCCTAATCTAGAGTTGAAGAGGAAAATGTGAAGTCTGTGTGAACATCTCACCAATAATCTGTTTTTCTCAGCTGATTTTCCTCAATGCGAGGGTGCTGCTCATAACAAACCTGCCCAGGTATTTCGACGGCTGCTACAGAGAGGATGAAGTTGCTGATCTGCTGCGCCCGTTTGGCTTCATCTTTAAGAGGAGCAGCATCTACGTGATTCCTGAAAAGTGCATGGTGGGTAGCAGATGCATCAGAGATTTACCTTGTTCTCTTCTTAACGAAGACTTCACTGGAGGTAAAAACCTGAAAATCCCTCCCAGTAAGGCCTGAGAAACTTTGTCCATTGGTGCAGTTTTCGTTCGTTTTGTGCATTTCCTGAACCAGAACGGAGAAATATGAATAAAAACACGAAGAAAGGCAGCCGAGAATTCGGGGAAAATTTCCAGGAAAGTTGCAAAATGTGAATATTTGTATATTTATATTTGCAGTGAGGAACAGGAAGTCAGCAGAAATGTGTTCTGAGAGCTGGTGCTGGTGGATACCTAACAAACCAACACTCGTAGGAGGGATTTAAAAGCACCATGTAAATGTACATTTGTTACAAAGAAAAAGAATATAAATTAAGGTCAACAAGTGATTTAAAAAAAAAATGTTTCCATCTTTGTGAAAAAGACTTCTGCAATTTTAGTTGAATAATGTCTTCACTTCTGCCCTATAAGTTCAGTTAAATGTGTGAATGCTATAATTATTAAATTGACTCCTTAATGTTTTTGTTTTTAGGCGTTTGTCCTGATGCCGTCTGTGAAAACTGTTCAGGACATCGTGGTTTATTCCGACCAGAACCACATCGTTTTCAAAGGATCTAAACTATCAGTCGGAGTTGTTCACAATATGGTTTCCATGACGCCAGTAGGAATATTTACGTTTTATGTCTTTACACATCAAAATATGGGAATTCACAAATTTATTCAGTATAAAAGCAAAAGAATATTTAATTTTGTCTCTGAAAACCCGACGAATATAATTTGATGCAAAACAAACAGGCAGTAAAAATTTTAGGGATTAAAAAGTTATGATTATTTAAGTAAGTAAAAGCTAAATAGTTACTATTTTTTTAACAAATTAAGATTAAATTTACTGAGATTTTCCTCAAGATCAGTGAGTTTAAATTCTTTATAGAAATCAAAAAACGTTTTTAGAATCTTGGTGTATCTGAAGAAAAACATCAACTCTGTTTCTGTGTTTGTTTCAGTTTGGCTTTTATTCATTTCTGATGAAAAAGACCCATTCTGTACGTATCGCATCATCTCTAACTTTGACACAGATTTTTATTTCAGAATAAGTGACTGCAGAATAAAATAACACATCTGCGTCAACAGACACGGAATGACGATGGAGGAAGTTTGATCTTCATCCACAACGTGTCCCAGAGCGAAGCCGGCGCTCTGAGGGAAACTCTGATAAAAATCGGCTGTGTGAGACGATACCTGCCTCTTCTCAACAAGGTGTTGAACTGCAGCGTCTCACACACGTGTGTGCGTGTGTGTGTGTGTGTGTGTGTAGAAAGAAGTTAAATTATTTCTTTGTGTGTTCCAGGTGTTTGTTGAATTTAAAAACAGAGAAGAGGCGGACATATTGGGAGTTTGGTACAGCCTGCTGAAGCGCTCTCCAGCTCATCAAGTCTTCAGAATGAAAATACCTCAAAGCAAAAAACTTCCTCCACGTCAGTTTCTATTTTAGGACATAAATGTTGAAATGTTGTTGCCCTAAAAGCAACGGCCTTTTGTGGAGCCAAGAATGGAGGAACTGGGATTAGGATTGGGACGGTTTGAGCAGGATAATCTGTTAAAACAATCGATATCACCCACCTGAGCTACTATGGCTGTCTGAAGAAATGCGCCAAAACCAATCCAAGCTAAGAGGAGGTTCTTAGCGCTGCCAATCATCCTCATGTACGCAAAGCTAAATGTGCTAATGGCGGAGAAACAGGAAAACCATTTATCCACCATCATCAACAGAGGTGATGCTAACTAGCCTTAGCATTCACAACAGAATATGTTAGCTGCAGCATAGCAGAGAGCAAAGCGGAAGGGGGCAATGGATGAGAAACGCTACATGAGATTGTGATTGACAGCACTAAGGAATCCCTCTGATTGGTTGTTTTTAGTTGAACTGGGAAAAGGCGGAGGAGCTCAATTTTTTTATTTTTGTTTTCATAATTATCCTTCTCATACCAAACTGTCACAACTTGGTGACAGTTTCAACAAATATGTTAAAAAAAATTTTTTAATGAAAGTTGCGTTCTGCAGCTTTAAGACGTTAAAATGTTTTTTAAAATGTAAAATTTTGCCTTGGCAGCACTATTTAATCTCAACATATTCTCAGCGTTTTTCCCTCGCTGGACTTTTCTGTTTTGCCAAGTTGCACTAAGACGTCTTTATTGTGTTTTGTGACTTGAGGCTGCTGCTAACTCGCTGCTAGCATACCCGTTGCTAGCTAACTAACTTTTTTTACATCGATCATGAGTAAGTGCACATTAATCGCCACTTGCCTGGGAAAAGTTTACTTTTTTGAGGTTTTAGTCTTAAATTCCACTCATAATGGTCTTAAAAAGCCTTAAATTAGAGTTTTTCCAGAAATGTTCCCCGTTTTCAAAACTTTGACTTATAATTCCAGTCTCCACTCGACATCCAGGCCAACATGAAAATCCCGAGACATTTTACTCTGCTCTAGCTGACGCCTTTCAACATGTCATGGTCAGATTTGAGAATCTACATAAACATAATGAAAACACTGACCTTCATTTTATGTGTGCAGCACCAAGAGTGCCAGACAGAGCTTTGCCAGATGGTAGCAAAGCCGTCGATGGCGCCGTCATCCCAACTATGAAACGTGGCGTTCCTCAGGGCAGCACTCCTCCATTCTGGATCACCATGACAACCTACCCTTTATTGTTTCCCACCTTCTGTCCCTGGTTCAACATCCCAGGTAAAAAATAAAAACAAACGGAAACCATTTGGAGGCTTGATGAAGCTCACAGTAAGTGACTGCGTAAAATTTTTGTCTCGTAGATTATCTGACAGTCAGTCCGATGAACGGTTTTAAGGTAACTTCTTTTTTCTGCACAACTTTGATCAAGAAGCAAAATAATTATTGTTTGTGAAGTGGAGTCTATAATTATAGAGGAATACAAAATCTTACCGAACATTTTTTATCTTGTTTCTAGTGCAAATATCTTAGTACACTTAAAATAAGACAAAACTAATTTATGAGTAGCTTTTCAGCAAAATATAGGAGCTTGTTTTAAGTCAATAATTCCTCAATATTGATGAAAAATAACTAGTTCCACTGGCAGATTATTTCACATGTAAGGTGGAAAAATGTCTTGTTATAAGTGGAATAATCTGCCAATGGAACTAGAACTTTTTCAGCAATATTGAGGAATTATTGACTTAAAACAAGATACTACATCTTGCTGAAAAACTACTTATAAGTTAGTTTTCTTATTTTAAGTGTACTAAGATATTTGCACTAGAAACTTGGTAAGAGTTTGTTTTTGCAGTGTTCAGATATAAAACTGTTGATTTTTCCATGCAGCAGAAATGTGGTCAGATGTAGTGCTGGTGGATACCTAGCAAACCAACACTCTAAGGAGGGATTTAAAAGCACTCTGTTTATGTAAATGTGCATTTATTAAATCCCTCAGAATATTTTAGGCGTTTATTTTTCTATTTGTGCCTTTTGAACCTGCAGAAAACCATCAGCCAGGCCTCAAAGTTCTGCACCGTCATGCTAACGGGTTTGCCTGAGAGAAACTACACCCACCAGGATGTTGCTAAGCTGGTGTGGAAACATTTCCCCAAACAGAATCTGCAGACTCTGTTCTACAACGTGGTGGTTCTTCCTCTGCAGAGGAGGGTAAAAACATCACATTATAGTTATTTATTAGATGGTTAAATCTCCCTGCGTCGTAACTTTTCAGTTTTCTCCCTCTCTGCTTCAGGCATTTGTGTTTTTCTGCAGCTGGGACGACTGCAGTGATTTTCTCATGAATCACATCAAAAATCCAGTTTCTGTTAAAGGCTCCCTGCTCAGTGTTCACCTGGTGTTGGAGGACATGCATCCCGGATTCAGAGAGGTGCGAGTTTATCCCAAACACTGAGGGAAACAATCAGCGTTACAATTTCATTACAGTTCTTTTTTCTCTGTGACTTTTTGTCTAATTCGGTTAGTTTTTAGAGCGTGTTTGCTAGTTTTCTTTACTAATTATTGGTTAAATATTGTTTAGGAGCAGCAATGCAGGTTGATAAATTTGACTGGCACCTGTTGCAATAAGCAGTACATGCATTCATTTCAGGATAAATTAAAACAAACAAAATAATTTCCATTTGCATGATTTGTTGTTTTTCTTTTTTGTGTCTTTTTCTACCAAAAACTGGTAACAAAAGTCTCCAGCCTGGTGTTTTGGTGTCAACTTGCTCTTTTTTTAAGGACAGTTTGTTTGTAGAGACGTCATAATTCATTTTGTTTGTTTATTTTGAATATGTTGCTTAAAATGGTCTTAAAACAACATTATTGTTTATATTACTAATTTATCATCCAGCAAAATTTATCATGGCAGGCCTAAATACTTAAAAAATTATTTTAACTTGTATTTTATAATAAAGATTGAAAAATCGATACAATTATCTGATTTAAGAAGAAATATATAAGGTAAATGTTTTATATTTTTGCTTTTCTTCTCATATTCCCCTCAAGTTTTCTGAGGCGCCCCCTGGTGGCCTCAGTTTAAAAAACGCTGTTTGAAATCATTCTGCCTTCTCACAATACTTTATAAATGTAACATTTATAACACAGATAAAGAACAAAGCCAAGAATATTAGAATATTAATGAAGCTGAAAAATCAAATCAGAGCAAAGGGAATAATAAAAAATACACAGAATTTTTAAAAATCTGCAGTAAAATGAGTTTGCATATGTTTTTGTTTCTCCTGCTTCTACTGATCCCCGTTCATAAAACATAACAGCCATTAATGGTTCCATCCCTGTTTTGTCTGCAGGTGACGATGTACCGATCTGTGATGAAGTGGAGCAACGCTGTGAGTCGTTTTGAGCCGATCTGAGAGGAACCGGCAGCAGCAGCAGCTTCTAAACCTGCAGCTCTCTGTCTCTGCAGCACGTCTCCCAGCTCCGGCGTCTGGGGCAGCGGCTGCTCTGCGTGGAGATCTCTGAACCGACAACTCACCTCATCATGACAGTCATGAAAGAAGTGGCAACCGTTGCTGCTTTCGTCAACTTCCTGCCGCTTGCTAACAGGGTAACGACCCAAACACCCGCAGCAGTCCCCTTCAGGGCAACTCGTCTCATTTCTGCCGTAATGTTTGGCTCCACTTCTAGGATTAACTAAGAACATAAACATTTAAAGGATGTTTGATTTCTTTGCAGAGACAGAAATTAAGAAACTAGATTGTTTTTATTTCGGTTTTAATCTGGCCTGTGGAGGCAGGCCAGATTATTTGTGCAGAATATTTCAGGAACAAGGCAAATCCATGTGCTTCATATGGTAAAAATAAACATTACATTACATCACAGTGATATAGCGAAGCAAAAACCGACTAAGATAATAAAAAAGCAACTCTAATCAGATGGGTTTTAGTCTGGATTTAGCAGAACCAGAAGACCTGAGAGGTCTGGAAGGTTGCTATGACAACAGCAGATATTTAATGTATTGTGATGCTAAACTGTTCAGTGATTTATAAACTAACAGTATTTTAAAGTCTATTCTCTGAGCTACAGGGAGACAGGATAGGACTGTAGACTGATGTTCTCCAACTTCCTGGTTTTAGTCAGAACTCCAGCAGCAGCATCTGGATCTGATTGATCTTTTAGGCCGACCTGAGATGAAACCGTTTCAGTAATCAATGCAACTAAAGACAAACACAAAGATGAGTTTCTCTAGATCTCACGTAATCCTGGAGATGCTCTTCAGGTGATAGAAGGCCGACTTTGTAACTGTCTTTATGTAGCTCTGGAGGTTCAGGTCAGAGTCCATCTTTAATAACTGAAGCTGTGCGTTGACTCTAAATCGTTCCTCTTTAGGTCCAAAGATAATAACTTCAGTTTTGGCATTGATTGATTTGTTCCGTTGGCGCTTGAATGGGTTTTAAGTCACCTGATGACATTGTAATGTAGAACAGAGCATCATCTGCATACTTATAATAGCTAATCTTGTTTGTAATCTGAGCCAGTGGGACCAAGTAGATATTAAATAAGAGGGACCCATTACTGAACCTCCACATGTGACGATAATAATTGTTTCCTCTTGTCTTCTGTCAGATTGTGATTGAAATGGCTGAATCAAGTGGTGTAACAGCAGCTGTTCTCCAAATCTCACCGAACTCCTCACCAGAACACCACATGTGGTATGTGTGTGTGTGTGTGTGTGTGTGTGTGTGTGTGTGTGTGTGTTTCAGCTGATTTGAGTGAACCCAGATGATGCCGAGCTTCTTGGTTCTGATCCGCCTCATTTCTTATGTTTTTCCCTCCCAAACAGGAGCAAAGTTAAAAGTGTTGAACCGTGAGTATCTGATGTTCATTTATATAAAACTATAACAGCAAAAACTTCACCAGTTTATTTCTTTGCAGTTTTTTGTTTTACGCTGAACGTTTTTCTGAGACACTCGGTTCTAAAGTCATCATTTATAAACTGCTCATAGTTTACAGTTAGAAAATCTTCCTCTAGTGTTTCATGTTTGTAGTTGGAGTCGATGTTGGACTGGTTTGACTTACAGCTGACTGTCCTCAACCCAGTTTGGACCATAGTTGGTGGAAAAGACGTGAAATATGAAATTTATTTGGGAATAAACGGACAAAGGATGGATATGGAAAGTGTTGGGGACAAAACGGGGTGCAGGAATTACCAAAGAGAGTAAACTGAGTCCATATTGTAAACTCTTAGTTACGTTTCAGATATGAACAACTAAAACCTTCATGGATCAGTTACTGTTTTTATTGAACATCACATTTAGCTGCGTGTCCATTAAAAATTCACACAAAACTTTGTCAATAATTCAGTTAATGTTGAAAAAACACAATTTTGCATTGAATAAATTTGTTCACTGAGTCATTAAAACGTGCAGCACCATCATCGTCCCACCTCTTCCTGTCGTCGTCTTCATCATTTCCTCCAGTAGTAACATCCAGTTGTTGGTCATGAGACCATTTGATGCGAAAAAGTGTTTGTGGAAGAAACCACTTTTGATTCAGTTGAAAAACATTCGGGGTTTTTTTCTTTTTAATTGGTGCATTTCCATTAATCAGATTTATTTTTGTAATCCCAACAATGGAAACGCTGAGGAGAGACTTTTGGTTTTAAGGGTTTTACCTGAAAATACGGCCTTTATCTAGTTTTTAATTTTTATGAAACCATTAAAAGAACCATTTTTAAAAATTAACCACATCAAACCTGTTTCTGCTCTTTTAAGTTTAAAGAGTCTGAGATGGCGTCTTCGAAAGTCAAGAGAGGCTGTGATAAACCTCGAGTCTGATTCATCGGTGAAACCAGCTGCCTCATCAAAATCCAAACCAGACGAGGGAAACCTTTGTTCAGAACCAGAGCAGAATCTTCCTCCGAAGAGGAGGAAGCTGGAGCTGAGTGACCAATCCCAGATTCTTAACAAGAAAACTGAAGATGAAACAACCCAGGTAAAACGTCAGGAAGACCTTCAGGTCCTCGTGAGTCCAACTGGAGATCAGAGCAACAAAGAGACAAAAGTCCAGAAACCAGGAAGTCCCTTCAGGCTTCCGTCTAAAGACGTTAAACTTCACCAAACGATGGAGTCAACGGAGGATCAACCAGAAACTAACGGAGGAAGAACCAGGCCACCTAAAGATGGAGAAAAGGTTCACGAGACGCAAAGGTTGAGTTTTCCTCAACAAACAGAAGCTGGAAACGTTTCCCATCAGAAAGCGACTGAAGACGATGAAGAGGAGGAAACAAACGAGGAGGAAAGCCCAGCAAACAAAACGAGAAAGCTCCCAAAGTCGTCTTTGAAAGTTCTCAGGAATCTGGAGGAAGTGGAAGAGGAAGAGGATGTGACGGAGGAAGAGCTGAGGGAAGGTTTATGGAGGGAAAACCTACAGGAAGAGGATGATGATGGAGGTGAAGAGCGAGAGGAAAACTCAGGTCTGGATTTCTATCAATAATCAATGCTTCCATTTTGTCACATTTCTACAGAAAACTTCAGCGTCATTTATCTGGTAAATAGCACATCTTAAAAGTGTGGCATGCTTTTGTATTTGGCTTCTTTTGAATCAAATTAACAGTGCATCCTTAAAAAAAATCGCCAATTAATTTATCTAATATTAAGGCATTATAAAGGCATATTAAGGCATTGTTTCATTCAGCTGTTCTCTGAATGAAACAAGAAAAACTTCCACCACAGAAAATGTATCGATGACAAAAAGTGAGAAGTTAATCCAAAAATATTCAAACTGCAAACCCATAACTTTGACCGTATTCTTTCTTCTTCGTCAGTCATCAGTAAACTGATTTTGCTTCCAGTCTTCATTTGTTTCCGTTGATATTTTAATCTTTTACTTAAAACATGAATTAATGAGGCTCAATTTCTGCCAAAAAGGTTGAATTAATTTGACTTTCAAGAAGAAAAGTGGATATTCTCTGTGAAAAATTCTTTCTTCTTACAAGATTAGTTTTATCTTGTAGTATCATAAAAAGATGCAGTTAATCGTGGACAGTTGTACATTTTTTCTTGCAGATGTGACTTTTGAGGCAACACCCAGTGATTTTCAGTGAATCTAGTTTTCTGTCAGGTTTTGTTTGTATTTCGTCGTCGTCATTTCTGCAGCCGGTGAGTTTGTGGAGCCCATCTTTGGCCTTTTCTGCTCCGTCTGTTCGGTTTTCTTCTTGGACGAGAACGCAGCCGAGGATTCCCACTGCTGCAGCCTCTCTCACCTCAACAACCTGCAGGTTCGCTTCAAAACCACAACAGTTTGAAATCCCTAAACATTTCTGTAAAAAATCCTTCAAAGTGCTGCATGTTTAAATCTGAAAAATTTGGAGAACGATATTTACATCCACCCAGAGTCGGGTAGTAACTAGTTACATTAACCTGTAGGAGTATTTCTCCTTTTTCTTCAATAAAATTTCTGTATTTTCTCTCCAATAAATGAAAAACATATTTTAACACAGACACACACCTAAAGTTAAAGTTTAATAAGTTTTTATTGAAAGAAACTGATTTGGAAAAATGTTTTTTTCTTTTTTGCTACTTATACAAATTGTCATTTTATTCCTTAAATAACCAAAATCTCGTCTTTATAATGTGGTCTGATGACGTAATTTTTAGATATTAAGTGATTGATCATTTGATCGACTTGCTGCATAAAGGATGAATATAGATTTATTTTCTCGCCGTCTGAAGTTAAATCAGACAAAATTCAAATTGTTTTAGGTCAGATAGAAGAAGAAATTTTTTTGAGATTAAACATTTGATTTGAGTAGGAAGATAATTTACCTGAAACATTTCAATGCATTGAATATGTATTATTCAAAATGGTCCAATTATTGATTCACTGTAAACATAAATGTCATATTTTGTCTCTGTTGTAAATTATAGAAAACCACCATATTAACAGTAAAAACCAAAACGTTTCAGTTCATTTCTGTTTGAAAACTTATCTTGAAAATGGTTGAACTTTTCTGTGGAAATATATTTTTTTTAAACTCTGATCTCTGCTTCTCTTCGTCTGTTTTTCAGATTCACTACCAGAAACTTTTACATTAATCTGAGGAACGATGTGAAGGTAAATCTGATGTTTAATTTCACCAACTCAACATGAATGTAAAGCCATCAGTTTTTCTTTTGCTGTAAAGTTTCCCTCCGTCTGCTGGATGGAAGCTAACTGCAGATTAAAGTTTTTCATTTCCTGTCTGATCAGAACCATTTCTGTTCACGCTCCAAAAAAGCAAAACATTAATCTTCTCTTCCTAACTTTTAGATGTTTCAAATGCACGTTATTCTAAATGTATCTTTTTTTTTTAAATTCACTTCTAAACCACTGCAGTGAACCTCTGTCTTATATGTGGACATTTTTTTGGTAGAAAAAAAACTTTTACATTTTTCAGCAAATTATTGACCATAGATTTAGAACAAAAAAAAATTCTAGCTCCACTGGCAGATTGTCTTAAGTGTGGGAAAACAAATCAGGAATGTTAGAACTAGTACTTTTTAAATTATCTAGTTAATTGTAAGTTAGTTTGGTCTGTGTTCTAGCCTAGTAAAATATTTTACAAGATTTAGTGCAGTTGCAGGTAGGACATAAGCAAAGCTAGCAATTAAAATATTTACAGAAAAAATCAGAGGGAATTTCCTTTATTAAACCAAACAGATCTGTTCTGTTCATCACTGAAACTTTTTCTCCATTTATTTTCAGTCAGAAATCCAACCCTGGGAGTTTCCTGAAGGTTTCTGCTGGAGCTCCTGGTAATGTCTCTGAAAACGGGAACAGAAAAGCGTCAAAGTGAGGCGGCCGGCGCTAACGTCACGTTTTCTACGTCTGTTTACCTGCAGGTTGTCGTAGTGGGTTCTGCTGCAGCAGTGCAGGTCTTTATCAGCGCCTTCGTTGAGGTAGAAAACCGAGCAAAGGTTACAGAAATACGCCAGTTTCTGGACCGTGAACTCCTGACCTGAATCAGCAAAAAAAAAAAAAAAAATTAAAAGTTTCAAAATGAAAGCTCACAGACTAATGTTTATGTTGACTTGAGGTGGTTTGTGGCTTTTCCAAAGAGCTCATGTGCTAAAAACAGATTTCCACCGTCAGTTGGGGTGAAACCCAACTGACCACCTAACACACCAGCAGCTCCACTCTGACCTCACCACTTCCATCTGAATGAGACTCGTTCTCACCTAGAGGGCGTTCCGGGTTGAACGGCGGCAGACTGACATTGGCAGCAACAGGTGGAGACTGGGATCGAGATCTCTTGGCTCCAGGTCCGACCGGCTCGCTCCGCTGTCTGCCAACAACTGCAGAAGAAGAAGAAATTACAATCCGGATGCTTTCATAGTCTTACCGTCCTCTGGCAGTCTGCGCAAACTTCTCATCTACCTGTGAGGAACAACCGTCTGGTTTTATTTGGAACATTTTTCGTTTCATAAATGCTGGAAATATTTAACATACAGTACAAAGTAATTAATTTGCACCTTTACCTTTTACAAAAGTCTTATTGAAGGGCAATTTTGTTGAGACCAAGCCTGCAGTAATAAATCAATTTTTAAGTTTATTGATCTTTGAGTGTGTTTGCCATTATATTACCTGAAGATGGTCTAAAACGTTCATTGCAATAACATCTGCGACAATTTATTGTCCAGCAACATTAGTTATGACAGAACCAGTTAAGAATCCATAATAAATTTTATAGGCTTTGGTTTAATTATTTTAAATATTTAAAAAATTCCAGGCCTAAATGTTCCTTGGAGTTGAAAAGCTGTAGTTGAATTATTTATGGTCCAGTAAAACATATTTCATGTTGCAGTGCAGTAACTCATGTTTCTATGATGCAAATTTAGTTTTCCAATTCCATTTTTTCATGGAAATTTTGATTTTTCACCTTTTGTTTGAGCCAAGCTGGATTCTTTCTTCTCCTCCTTCAAACATTCAATGTGTGGCTTCTGGTCACCAGAACCAGAACTGCTGTCCGTTTCCTCCAAATTCTTTTGGATCTCAGGCTGAATGTCGCCTGAAGCAGCAGAAAGCGACTCCTTCTCTTCTTCTTCTTGTAATTCTGGTTCAGTGCTGACCTTTTGACCTCTGGTGGATTTTCTCACTTTGAAAGAAAACATTCAGTGATTTTTCTGGATTTGTGTCCAGATCTCTCCATTTAAACATTTCGTCAGTACCAGGAGTCGTCTTCGCTTTCTTTCTGGGTCGGCCTCTGGTTCTGGGAGCTTTTACTTCCTGTATTTCTTCTTCTGCTGTTACAATGTTCACAGTCTCATCTGAAACAACAAATCAAAGTTTCAACCTGGCAGCAGCACTAAAACCGATTATTTTCCTTCACAATAAACAGATTTGTTTCAGTCCAGCATGAAAAAAATCGAACAAAAAACTGGAAATTTGTCAAAATAAAGTTTGATTCTTGAGTCAAATCCCTTCAGAAGGGAATCTAGATGGATAGTTTGTATATTTTTATCCAAAGCCACATCCTTTGGAGACAGAAAGAGTTTTAATTCACTATTATACATCATGTTTGTGATGGTATTCTGCAGCACAGACGAGGTAAACTAAAATAAAGCTAAATTTTATGTTTTTAAATGTTTCTCACGCCTTATACAGCCAACTGGTCCAAAAACCAAACAAAAGAAATCTGCCAATTACAATAACATAATAAAACATAAGGTAACCTTTGTTTTAATTACACAGATCAATAAGTAATAATAAATCGTGTTGAGGTAAAACACCTTCCCGCTCAAATTTAATGCTTAAACATACAAAGAAAGTAAAAAAAAAATCTCTAAAAAATATTTTTTTCTACATTTTCTGGCATTTAGAAAATAGAAATAATTCTAACAGACTTAAAAAAATATATATCTGCCTCTTTAGATTTATGAAAATATCAGATTAAAAGCCTAAATCTGGAAAATATTTACTTCTGAAACTAAACGCTAGACTGAACCCAATTACAAAACTTTGCAGTTTAAATACTAAGAACTTTCAAAATCTTGAGAAAAATTAATTGAAATTCAACCATTTTCAATTATTTGCATCCAAACCCGGTAAATAACTGATCTGTTGTTGAAAACATAAACCTGGAAACATTCGGACAAACGGACCCGTGCAGCTGCCTTCATGTTTCCGCTTGGCAGATTTTGGGGTTTCATCTGGTTTAATCTCCGCATCATTTCCATCCAACAAGACCTAAAAACAGATTATTTAGCCAAATCGTTGATGAAAACACCAATATGAACCCACTAATACATTATTATGCTCACCTCAGACATGAGGGAGCCATCTTTGTCCTCCATCTTGTCCTCCCGTGGGTCAGGATTGGTTTTAGTCTCAGGTTCTGGTGTCATTTCTTTTGGTCCTGCTACAGATTCTTCTGACGGTAAATCCTCTGAATTACAGGTGAGCTGATCCAGACTCTGTCGCTCTGAAACGTCCCATTTTGTTCCTTCAGGATCAGCATTTGTTAAATCACCAGCTAAGACTTCCTGTTTGGACTCTTCAATACTAGCTAATGCTAATTTAGCATCAGCTAGCAAAGTCAAACTCTGTTCCTCTACGATTTCCTGTTTGGACTCTTCTGCACCAGCTAATGCTACTTTAGCATCAGCTAACAAAGTCAAACTCTGTTCCTCTACAACTTCCTGTTTGGACTCTTCCATGCTAGCTAATGCTACTTTAGCATCTTTCATATGATCAGCTGCCTCAGTCAGACTCTTTTCCTCTGCAGCAGGTAAATTCTCAGCATCATCATCAGCAAACTGAGACAAAAAGTCCTCTAAAATCTTTATTTTGGATCTTTCCTCGTCAGATAAATCGTCATTAGTGACATTTACATCTTCGGCTAACCGAGTCAGACTTTCTCCTCTTAAGATGTGTCCTTCTGACCTTTCAGCAGCAGATGAAGCCACACAAACTTCTGTTACTTCATCAGGCAGTTGAGTCAGACTCTGTTCCTTCAAAATGTCTTCTTTTGTTTCTTCTGCACCAGGTACGTCAAGTGCAGCAACGCTAACACCACCAGCTAACTGAGTGAGACTCTGTTTCTCTACGACTTCCTGTTTGGACCCTTCTGCACCAGATAATGCTATTTTAGTATCTTTCACATCATTAGCAGCCTCATTCAGACTCCTTTCCTCCAAGACTTCCTGTTCGGACCCTCCTGTTCTGGATTTTGCTATTTTAGCATCGCTAACACCACCAGCTAACGGACTCAGACTCTGCTGCTCCACAACCTCCTGTTTGATCTCCTCTCCACCAGATAATACTACTTTAGTATCGCTAACACCACCAGCTAACAGACTCAGACTCTGCTGCTCCACAACTTCCTGTTTGATCTCCTCTCCACCAGATAATGCTACTTTAGCATCGTTAACATCACCAGCTAACGGACTCAGACTCTGCTGCTCCACAACTTCCTGTTTGATCTCCTCTCCACCAGATAATGCTACTTTAGCATCGCTAACACCAGCTAAAGTCAGACTTGGTTGCTCGAGGATTTCCTGTTTGAAATCTTCTGTTGCAACTAAAGCTACGTTAGCATCTGTCACGTCATTAGCAGCCTGAGTCAGACTCTGTTCTTCCAAGACTTCCTGTTTGGACCCATTAGAACCAGCTAACGCTACTTCAGCATTGCTAACACCCGCTAACAGACTCTGCTCCTCTGTGGAACCAGTTGTTATTGTGTCTTCTCTTTCAGCTTTAACTTCATCCTTTGCTCCACTTCCTTCTTCTTCGCTCATCATCTCCTGAACTTGATCATCAACAGAAGCTACAACTTGAAGCTGAGGATCCTCTTGTTCCTCATTTCTTGCCATCTCCACTGTTTTCTCTCCATCTTCTTTACTAGCGGTTGAGTTTGTATCATCAGTAGGTTCTTCTGCAGGACCTTCTTCATCGGCTACTGGCCTGGAGAGACTCTGTTTCTTCAAGGCGGCCATTTGTTTTTTCGTTGCTCTGGTGTTTTTCTTCGGTCTTCCTCTCCTTGCTTTCCGTTGTACTGCTGGTTGATCTTCCTCAGCCTCTTGCGCCTCTTCAGCATCTTTCACATTATTAGCAGCCTCAGTTGGACTCGGTTCCTCCAGTTCTTCCTGTCTGGACCTTTTTAGGCCAGATGCCGTTACTTCAACATTGCTAACGCCTCCAGCTAACTGAGTCAGACTCTGTTCCTCTGAGACCAGCAGTTCTGCAGACGGAATCAAATCATCATTTTCCTTTTTGATGATTTCATCTTTTGCTTCACTTCTTTCTTCTTTACTCATCACCATCTCCTGAACTTGATCATCTATAGAAGCTGCAGCTTCCTCATTTCTGGCTGAGGTTGTCCCGTCTTTAAGTTCTTCTTCATTGAGATTCTGCTTCTTCAAGTCAGCCATTTGTTTTTTAGCTGCTCTTGTGTTTTTTTTCGATCTTCCTCTCCTTGCTTTCCATTGTACCACTGGTTGATCTTCCTCTTCTTCTTTTACATAAAGAACAGCCTCAGTTGGACTCGGTTCCTCCAGTACTTCCTGTTTGGACCCTTCAGCATCGCCACCAGCTAACTGAGTCGGACTTTGCTCCTCTGAGGCCAGCAGATCTCCAGACGGTATCACGTCATCATTTTCCTTTTTGCTGATTTCATCTTTTGCTTCACTTCTTTCTTCTTCGCTCATCTCCACGTCTTCTTTCAAAGCCGCTGAGTTTGTTTCGTCAAGTTCTTCTTTTTTGACGGTTTGGTTGAGACTCTCCTCCTTCAAGGCGGCCATTTGTTTTTTAGTTGCTCTCGTGTTTTTCTTTAGTCTTCCTCTCTTTGGTTTCTGTTGAACCGCTGGTTGATCTTCCTCAGCAGCGTCCGGTGTCTCATTAGTAGCTTCCTCTGTCTCTTGTGCGTCTTCTTGTCCTGTTTTGCTGCTTTTTGCTCTCGTCGTGTATCTCCTAGCCGTTGTCTCCTGCTTCTTCTGAGG